AAATTAGACATATTGAGAAAAAAAATGTTCATTGTTTTCCTGAACCGGAACATTTTTAGCACCAGGAATAATAGGTCTAATTGAAGTTTGCAGCGATAACGTCTTTTTGATTGCTTACATGATTGTTGCGGCCAGTTTCTTATCCAATACTTGTTTTTCTGCGTTGTTACTATACTTGTGCTTATTGTGTTTCTGAAATTTGCAAGTTTCCCAGCATACGTCCGTATCAGATAGACTGTTCTCTCCATTGCTTCACCAGCCACACAACCGAGGAAACTAAATCAACACTAAGCCATGCTTTTGAGATAGTACGATGCATTTCTTGCAGATACTTTACCATCGACGTCATATAGAAACATAGCTACTACCGCTTTGTCGTTTCCATAGCTAACTTCGTCACTTTTTAAAACTTTTAATCTTGTTAAAAGCTTCTGAAAAATGCATTAGCACTTTTATTCTCTATTTTATCATACTTCCCATCCTTCGCCAGCGTACTGCATTGTTTACCCCTTAGACTTCTTCGTGTAACAATATTACCACATTCCCCACCAGTTTTCCACTCTTTCTTTCCACCATTGACACTTAAGTTATAATCTTGTCTCTAACCTCCTGAATGGCAATATTTTTGTACGTTATATCTTTAACAGACATCTCTGTAACCCTCTACAATCTCGTCTATCACACTAGAATTTGCTACTGTGGTTTTTTATATTTATCATTCAAAATATCTGTATTCTCTGTTATTACATTCCCTCCATTCCCTCTTTCTGGCCAAATTATATACTTGTTACTTAAATATACCTACTTTTATTAATTAATCAGTTATCTTACGTGGTAAGACTCGGGCCTTCAGGCCTGCCCTTCCGCCTGTCTACGCAAATTTTGCTAAGCACATTTTGCCAATTTTAGTGTTTTTCAATCACGTCATATCACACAAACATTTGCCGTCAACTCAGAGTCTCTAGCACTTCCCACAACTTCCATTTCGCTCGCGTCACTACGTTCAGAATTACATTCCCACTCACGTCTCATTTGTCGCGTTTACATGTTTGACAATGACCCCATCAATACCTGAAAGGCAGCATTACGTCACGTACTTCCTTTCCGACATCTGTCTCCGCCATCGTTCTGTAGACTCGACCTCATGCAGGCAGGTCACCGCCTCTTCTGCCAAGCTGCCGCATCGGGAACGCCTGCTTTAAAGGGGATGTGCTGGTGCGTCGTGGATGGCGAAAGGTGGTAGTGGAGGTGGTGGCGGTCCTCGATGATGGGCGGCGGTGGTCGTGGATGGCGAAGGTAGGTAGTGGAGGTGGTGGCGTCCTCGAGATGGCGGCGGTGGTCGTGGAAATGGCGAAGGTGGTAGTGGAGGTGGTGGCGGTCCTCGAGATGGCGACCGGTGGTCGTGGATGGCGAAGGTGGTAGTGGAGGTGGTGGCGGTCCTCGAGATGGCGGCGGTGGGTCGTGGATGGCGAAAGGTGGTAGTGGAGGTGGTGGGCGGTCCTCGGATGGCGGCGGTGTGTCGTGGGATGGCGCAGGTGGTAGTGGGAGGTGGTGGGCGGTCCTCGAGATGGCGGCGGTGGTCGTGGAATGGCGAAGGTGGTAGTGGAGGTGGTGGCGGTCCTCGAGATGGCGGCGGTGGTCGTGGATGGCGAAAGTGTGGTAGTGGAGGTGGTGGACGGTCCTCGAGATGGGGCGGCGTGTCGTGGATGGCGAAGGTGGTAGTGGAGGTGGTGGCGTCTCGAGATGGCGGCGGTGGTGCCGTGGATGGCGAAGGTGGTGGCGGTCCTCGAGATGCGGCGGTGGTCGTGGATTGGCTGAAGGTGGTAGTGGAGGTGGTGGCGGTCCCCTCGGAAAGGAAAAAAAAAAAAAAATTTTGGGGGGGCGGGCCCGGTTTGGGGGGGGGGTTTTTTTTTCCGTGGATGGCGAAGGTGGTAGTGGGAGGTGGTGGCGGTCCTCGAGATGGCGGGCGGGTGGTCCGTGGATGGCGAGGTGGTAGTGGAGGGTGGTGGCGGTCCTCGAGATGGCGGCGGTGGTCGTGGATGGCGAAGGTGTTGGCGGTCCTGATGATGGCGACGGTGGTCGTGGATGGCGAAGGTGGTAGTGAGGTGGTGGCGGTCCTCGAGATGGCGGCGGTGGTCGTGGATGGCGAAGGTGGTAGTGGAGTGGGTGGCGGTCCTCGAGATGGCCGGCGGTGGTCGTGGGTGGCGAAGGTGGTAGTGGAGGTGGTGCGGTCCTCGAAGATGGCGGCGGTGGTCGTGGATTTGGCGAGAGGTGGTGGCGGTCCTCGAGATGGCGACGGTGGTCGTGGATGCGCGATAGGTGGTAAGTGAGGGTGGTGGCGGCCTCGAGTGGCGGCGGTGGTCGTGGATGGCGAAAGGTGGTGTGGAGGTGGTGGCGGTCCTCGAGATGGCGGCGGTGGCGTGGATGGCGAAGGTGGTAGTGGAAGGTGGTGGCGGTCCTCGAGATGGCCGGCGGTGGTCGTGGATGGCGAAGGTGGTAGTGGAGGTGGTGGCGGTCTCGAGAATGGCGGCGGTGGTCGTGGATGGCGAAGGTGGTAGTGGGAGGTGGTGGGCGGTCCTCGAGAATGGCGCGGTGGTCGTGGATGGCGAAGGTTGGTGGCGGTCTTCGAGTGGCGGCGGTGGTGCGTGGGAATGGGCGAAGGTGGTAGTAGGAGAGTGGTGCGGTCCTCCGAGATGGCGGCGGTGGTCGTGGATGGCGAAGGTGGTAGTGGAGGTGGTGGCGGTCCTCGAGATGGGGCGGCGGTTGATCGTGGATGGCGGAAGGTGGTAGTGGAGGTGTGGCGGGTCCTCGAGATGGCGGCGGTGGTCGTGGATGGCGAAGGTGGTAGTTGGAGGTGGTGGCGGTCCTCGAGAATGGGCGGCGGTGGTCCCCGTGGATGGCGAAGGTGGTAGTGAGGGTGGTGGCGTCCTCGACAGATGGCGGCGGTGGTCGTGGATGGCGAGAAGGTGGTGCGGCCTCGAGATTGGCGACGGGTGGTCGTGGATGCGAAGGTGGTAGTCGGAGGTGGTGGCGGTCCTCGAGATGGCGGCGGTGGTTCGTGGATGGCGAGGTGTAGTGGAGGTGGTGGCGGTCCTCGAGATGGCGGCGGGTGGTCGTGGATGGCGAAGGTGGTAGTGGAGGTGGTGGGCGGTCCTCGATGATGGCGGGCGGGTGGGTCGGTGGATGGCGAAGGTGGTAGTGGAGGGGTTGGCGGTTCCTCGAGGAATGGCGGCGGTGGTCTGTTGGATGGCGAGGTGGTGTGCGGTCCCTCGAGATTTGCGACGGTGGGTCGTGGATGGCGAAGGTGGTAGTGGAGGTGGATGGCGGTCCTTCGGAGATGGCGGCGGTGGTCGTGGGATGAACGAAGGTGGTAGTGGGAGGTGGTGGCGGTCCTCCGAGATGGCGGCGGTGGTTCGTGGATGGCGAAGGTGGTAGTGAGAGGTGGGTGGCGGTCACTCGAGATGGCGGCGGTGGTCGTGGAATTGGCGAAGGTGGTAGTGGAGGTGGTGGCGGTCCTCGAGATGGAGGGCGGTGGTGGATGGCGCAGGTGGTAGTTGTGGAGGGCTGGTTTGCGGTCCTCCGAGATCGCGTGGTGGGGCGGTGGGTTGGTCGTGGAGGTTGTTGGGCGGGAGGGAAAGGTGTGGGTGTGGCGGTCCTACGAGATGGCGGGCGGGTGGTCGTGGGATGGCGAAGGTGGTAGTGGAGGTGGTGGCGGTCCTCGATGAATGCGGCGGGTGGTCAGTGGATGGCGAAGGGTGATAGTGGAGGTGGTGGCGGTCCTACGCGAGATGGCGTGGGCGTGTGGTCGTGATGGCGAAGGTGTAGTGGAAGGTGGTGGCGGTCCTCGGACATAGATGGCGGCGGGTGGTCGTGGATTGGCGAAGGGTGGTAGTGGAGGTGGTGGCGGTCCTCGAGATGGGCGGCGGTGGTTCGTGGATGGCGAAGGTGTAGTGGAGGTGGTGGCGTGTCCTCGAGATGGCAGGGCCGGGGTGGTCGTGGGATGGCGAAGGTGTAGTTGAGGTGGTGGCGGTCCTCGAGATGGCGGTTTTGGGGGGCGGGGGTGGTCGGGCGGGTAGGTGGGGATGGGGCGAAGGTGGTGTAGTGGAGGTGTAGGTGGCGGTCCTCGAGAATGATGTGCGGGGCGGTGGGTTCGTATCGGGTCTGGATGGCGAAAGGTGGTTGGCCGGTCCTCGAGATGGGCGGCGGTGGGTGGTCGTTGGAATGGCGAAGGTGGGGTAGTTTGGAGGTGGTGGCGGTCCTGCGGATCTTTTTGTTTTTGTAAATTTGCGGCGGTGGTCGTGGATGTGGCCGAAGAAGG